CCCGAGGTCTCAACCACAGATCAGATGGGCACCGTTGCCCTGCCCAGCCTGGACAGCCCCTTCCTAACCGTCCTCCGTCTGGCTGGGGCCTGATGACCCAACTGATTAGGGCCTGGACAGCACGGGGACTTTCCAGGCCACCCAAGTTCCAATCACAGGACAGGGCTGGAGGGTTTCACTGAGACACTCTCGGTCAGGGTTCCCCTCTTAGATGTGGGGAAACTGAGGCACAGAAGGTGCTTCCTGATCACCTATCAGGATGCGGCCTCCTGGCCAGGAGACACGGGTCAGAACTATGTGTCAGTGTTGGCCCCAGCCCCTCTCTCTTCTTGATCCCTCTGCATCCTCAGATCCCACCTAGTGGGGCCCACCCTCTGCCCCGCTGCCCATCAGGGACAGCACACCCACTGCGGGTGACCAGGTCTGCCATCTGCCCTGCCTCTGAGCCCTTCACGGGGGTTCACCTGGCCCTTCTCATATGTGTCCTGCCAGTGGCCTGCGGTGTCCGTGGAGTCAGGACCCCAGGTCAGGAGTCAGGACCCCGGCGCCTGGGCTCTGCCACCTCCCAGGCACAGGACCTGCTCACGTCCAGAGATGGACAGCACAGGGTGTCAGACGGGCTGGGTCCTTCCCCCTGGATCCCGGGGCCCAGCTGGAAACCTCCACTGGGGCCAGCCTGGTGCTGAGGACACCCCACCAGCATTCATTCCCTCACTCCTTCCACTAACACTCTGCATTGGTGTCGAGTGTCACTGTCCTGGGGTCCCTGATGGGCAGGCCTGTGACAGCATGGCCTCCCAATCCACCCCCCATAGTGTGGTCACAAAGGGGCAGAAGTCTCCTAACTCTGAGCCCCGAGCGCCGTCTGCTCCTGCATCCTCATCGCTAACTGGGGCAAATCTCCGGACACCTCGAATACGCATGTCCGGGAACTGTGGGCACTGCCATTGACTTGCTCCCGGCTGGACACGCAGGGCGTGCACGTCCTGTTGTTGAGCCGCCAGGCTGGGATGCTAAGCTGGGGCTGGGACGGGACCCTTGGGCCTGACCCTCCGTGCCTCCACTGGGCCGCCAAGTAGGGAGCCGGTCGTGGGCGGGGCGTCTCGGGTCGGCCCAGATTGGCCCAGGGTTAGCCAATCAGGACACTGGCGTCCTCACAAGCTTGGGCCCTCGTCACGGGGCCTGAGCTAATGGGAGCCTCCCTTGGAGGACTGGGCCCCAGCTCCTGGCTCAGCGCAAGCCCCTCTGCACTGTCCCTGCCCTGGTGTTTGTTCCCTGCGTGTCCCTGCCCATCTCCAGCCCTGGAGTCCCCTCTGTCCCTGCCCCCACCACCACCACCTGGGCTCCCGAGTGTCCCATCTCGTGGGCCTCATTCCTGGGGTCAGGACGGGGCGCTGGGCTCCAGGGAGTCTGTTGAGAGAGCGAGAGGGGAGCGGGGTCTCTGAGTGAGAGGGGCTCAGGGACACCCGGGAATGCTGCTGGGAGTCGGGTGACGACGCCCTGGAGTGGGCTGGCAGGTCGGGCAGGGCGAGGCTGGCCTGGAGCAGGAGGGCTGGGGAGAGGCAAGTGCCAGGCACATAGCGGGCTGGGGACTCGGGAGCCAGAGGGGGCAGGAGGCCCGGGTGACAGCAGCCTGGGGGAGTGGGAGGAGGAATGGCTGGGTTGGCAGGGACAGCCCTGGGTGGGATGGCACATTTTTAAAAAGTGAAAAAGGAATATAGAAGCGCAGTCCTAGACCCAGAGAGCCCTGTGGGATGGCTCAGGCCCGTGACAACCCCTTTGCACCGTGTCCCTGTCCCCACATTCGTCGGCGGCCCCGAGGTCTCAGCCACAGAGCAGATGGGCACCATCGCCCTGCCCAACCTGGACAGGTCCCGCCTAACTGTCCTCCCTCTGGCCGGGGCCTAATGACCCAGCTAATGAGGGCCTGGGCAGCGCCAGGGATTTCCCTACCCGCTCTCCCCAAATCCAGTCACAGGTCAGGGCTGGCAGGTCCCACCGAGACCCTCCAGGTCAGGGCTCCTCTCTTAGATGTGGGAAAACTGAGGCACAGAGGGTGTTGCCTGATCACCCATCAGGATGTGGCCTCCTGGTCAGGAACTTTGGGTCAGAACCACGTGTTCATATTGGCCCTGGTGACCCCTGAAGAGGATGCCTGCTTCACCACCATGGCAGGGCCTGCACTTCTCCCATGGGACAAGGCCCCTCCCACCACAGCGGCACACCTAGGGGTGGCCTCAGGGGACACAGGACTTGCCTGTCATTCCCACACAGGGGAGGGGAGTCTGAGCCAAGATCCCCAGTCCAGGTTGCCCACCCCCAGTGCCCGGGAGCCTGATGCCACCTTGTTGAGGGGGACAGGGTCTTCATGAACCAGGTCCTGAGTCCTGTCCCCCAGAGCCATCAGGGTCCCCACAGGAGGGGCTTCAGGGCTCTTGCTTGTCCCAGCTTACCCTGCCTCCTGCACTGGGAGTCCCGCCTCCCTCCTGCCCCTCTACTGCGCCTGGGAGGCAGAAGGTCAGCCCCTCGGATGCCCACCTGCCAATCCCCAGAACTTTTGGCTGTGGCCTCCAGGACAGAAGGGCCATCACAAGGGAGACAGGATTATGGAGCACGGGAGGGAGACCAACCCGGGGCACCAGGTGACCCGTCTTGATTCCGAGTTCTTCAAACAGGAGGCTCTTTCCCCACTGGGATCAGGAGGAGACACTGTGACAGGCAGAGGGCCCAAGGGGGGCAGTGGCTGGCTCTGAAGGGGAGGACAAGGCCAGGAGCCAGGGAACATGGCTGCCTCCAGAGGGGAGAAAGACAGGGGAAGGGAGCACCCTTCCTGAGCCTCCAGCGGGAACCAACTTGTCACACATGGATGTCACCCTGACGAGATCCATGTTGGACTTATTTTATTTTATTTCTTTTTGATATGGGTCCCGCTGTGCTGCCCAGGCTAGTCTTGAACTCCTTGTCTCAAGCGATCCTCCTGCCTCAGCCTTCCAAAGCACTGGGATTACAGGCGTGAGCCACTTGCCGGGCTCCATGTTGGGCTTTTGACCTCTGGAAGGACAAGATAATAAGAGTGTGTTGTTTAAACCATGAGTCTGTGGTAATTCCTACAATGGCAAAAGGAAATGAGGGCACCGCCTCATAAGGGCCCTGGTTTGCTGTCTGGTGAGATTCACCACACTCCACCCAGGGTCTGCTCCAGAATGTAGGGGCCCTTGAAACTGAAATGTGGAGCCCCTGGGTCTCCAATGAGGACAAATCTCAGACTAGTGTCAGGGCAGCGAGCCAGGCCCTTCTGAGTGCACTGCCCAGCCCCAGGACGCCCTCCTGGTCTGGTGGGGGCACCCCTTGCTCTGGACCCCAGAGGGCCCAGGGCAGCAACTGCCTCCCTTTCTCAAGGACCATGGGCCTGCCCATCTCCAGGCTACCTAGAGGGCAGAGCTGACCTTTCCTGACCCTGAGGTCCTGGCCTTATCCCACCCTGACTAAATCAAAGTTCCCTGCTGTGAGCTGGGTCAGGTTTCCTGGGGATCCAGGGCCCTGAGTGGGACCCCCCACCCACCCTGCGTCCCCCAGGCCTGGGTGGAAACACCCACAAGAGGAGACGCCACCTGCCTCAGCACATGCTGCTCCTTCTGTGGTGGGGGCTGCAGATGCAGCTTGACCACAGCTCCCACCCCTCCTCCAACAGGAAGCTCAGAGGCCAGGAGGGGGCTGGAAGGCCAGGTGACAGCAGCCCAGGGGAGGGGGCAGCAGGGTGGATGGACTTGCAAGGACAGCCCTGGAAGGGGTTGGGGGACAGCCCAGGGCAGGGGTGTGGGCCTGGGGAGGAGTGTCTGTTGGAGGCTGGGGGTCTCCTGCCATTGACCCTCACTTCTGTCTGCTCCTCCCTCTGTGGATGGAGTTCAGATCCTGCCATAATAAGGACCCTGCAGATTCGCGGAACCAGACAGATGGCACCAGAGATGGACGGTGGCTTGGTCCAGGAGTTGGTTCTGACTTGGGGGAGGGGGCCAATGCTTTTCCTGCTGAGGAGACTCCATCCTTCCCAAGGCTGCTTCCTCATCTGACAGGGGTCTGCTAGGAGGCCCGCCCTCCAAGTGAGGTGAGGAGGGCTGTCTCCTGTGAATTCCCAGGCCATAGGTGGGGTGACGCCGGTCCTGTTCCCATCCCACAGTCACCTCCCTGCTTCCTTGAGGGTGGCCCATGGTCATGGCCTGAATTTCTCTTAGGGAAATGCGTTGTGTGGACCTCTGGTTTTATAGGGCTGGATGGGGGGGTCACCTGTATGCAGTGGTGCTTGAAGGCTCCAAGGAGTGTCTACACTGCACCTGGGTGGGAGCAAGGGCTGATCCCGCAGCTGGAAGGTGTGTTCTGGTGTTCTGAAAGGTGCTCTGGTGCTGGACATCCACCCTCCCACAGATGGAGGGAACTGCAAGCCCAGTTCTCAGTCCATCCAGGGACTGGTTGAAAGCCCAGTAGTACACAGAGGGGACACAGCAGATGTTGAACCAAGACCAGGGACACAGCAGATGTTGAACCAAGACCAGGGCCCCTTTCTCCTCTGCCCCCATGGCAAGGCTAGTCCCATGTGGCTGTGCACCCTGGTCTTTGGGCACCCAGAGGGACATCAGGCTGGTGGGGGCATGGGTCACATGGAGGCCCTGGGCCTGAATCACCCCTTCCTGCAAGTCTGGATTGGAAGGTGGAGGCCCCTCCCCCGCCTGCTCTGGACATAAATGGGAGGGGCGCTCCTCTGGGTAGAGAGGAACAGGCACTGGCCAAGGTAAGATTCCCTCTCAGAGACCCCAGCATCAGTGAGGTGCCCTGGAGCAGAGTGGCCAGACCTCAGACCCAGAGCACTGACACCCCAGGTTCCCAGGCCTGGGCCACCCCAATCCCCATTCCCTGCTCCTTTGGCATCATCCTGCCCCCTGCACTCGTAGACCCATCCACCCAACACCAGCCGGGCTCAGGCCACCCCTTCCTGACCCTTCCAGATGCTGAATCTGCTACTGCTGGTGCTGCCTGTCCTGGTGAGCCCCGTCTATGCAGGCCCTGGTGAGTCCCTGCCCCCCCACCCCACAGGTGGGGTTGGGTGGGCCAGAGCTGGCCAGGGTGGACCCTGACCCCCCTGCTCTGCCTCAGCTCCAGGCCAGAGCCTGGAGCGAGCGGACATCGTGGGGGGACAGGATGCGCCCGAGAGCAGGTGGCCCTGGCAGGTGAGCCTGAGAGCCCGTGGCCAGTTCTGGCAGCACATCTGTGGGGGATCGCTCATCCACCCCCAGTGGGTGCTGACGGCAGCTCACTGCGTGGGACCGTGAGTCTCGGGTCCTGGGGAGGGTCCGGGCTCCACCCTCACTCTGGAGCCCCTGGGGCTGCCTGCTGGTTGGGTGAGGCCCTCCTGAGCCGCAGCCGCCCCCCAGGCACATCCAGCGCCCAGCCCTGTTCCGTGTGCAGCTGCGGGAGCAGCACCTCTACTACCACGACCAGCTGCTGAGGCTCAGCAGGATCCTCCCGCACCCTGACTACTACACGGCCGAGGGCGGGGCGGACATTGCCTTGCTGGAGCTGCTGGAGCCTGTGAACACTTCTGGCCCTGTCCACACGGTCACCCTACCCCCCGCCTTGGAGACCTTTCCCCCGGGGACGCCATGCTGGGTGGCAGGCTGGGGGGACGTGGACGACGATGGTAGGTGTCAGGGACAGCTGGGGGCCAGGACAGGGAACTGGGCAACACCCACCCTAACCCCTGGGGCTGCCTCAAGGGGACAGGGTCTCATCCTGGACCACAGCCATCCTGAGGTCAGGCCTCCTCCCCACAGTGCCCCTCCCGCCACCATACCCCCTAAAGCAGGTGAAGGTCCCCATTGTGGAAAACCACCTTTGTGACGTCCAGTACCACACGGGCCTCTGCACGGGGGACAACGTGCGTATCGTCCGGGATGACATGCTGTGTGCCGGGGAGTCCGGAAGGGACTCCTGCCAGGTGGGCCCTGCAAGCCCCCCGCGCCTCCAGCTCCCCACCCTGGGCCTTGCCAGAAAGCCTGACCCTTGTCCTCCCCAGGGCGACTCCGGAGGGCCCCTGGTCTGCAGGGTGAGGAAGACCTGGCTGCAGGCAGGCGTGGTGAGCTGGGGGGAAGG